GTCAAATATCGCCCAGTATTTAGAGAAAATACTGAGCCGTGCTATGAAACTGAAGCTGGTAACATTTGGCGAGTGCAGAGAGCTATTAGGGAAATCGAGGCTAGCGTTATGGGTTCAGATTACCGTAATCATCAAGAACTACTGTATCAAAATGACCCTTTGCTGCAACAACACCGATTTGGAAAATAAAGTGAACTCACAAATAATCAGATGATATCTACTGGTTAACTTGATTGAAAAGTTGAAATTGTTACAATCAGGGGGCTATTTTAAGGAAGATGAACCAGCCCTACCAGCGGCATTTCCACACTGGTTGTTTTCTTCCCAAATCGCTCGCTAACTGATCGCAATTGGTAGAGCAAGGCAGTCGAGGCGGGCTCATTCCGCCCTCCTGGCACCGCCCCCTCTGACTGCGCCGCTATCAACTGTATTCGACAGAAACGAAGAATAATAAAGTTTGGCAAATCTGCTGTATCAACTGAAACATCTATCGTCCGATGATGCATCCAACTGATGTTCATACTCCGCAATCACAATGATAGGGACCGCTTCGCCCCAATGGAAAACTCGAAAGGTGTCTGTAATTCTGAAATCGAAGATGAAAAAAAGATGTTCAAAATTCCGCAAACTATCGCTTTCTTCACCCTTGAGTTTGGTAACGTTCTGTCTCAGCAGCTTTCGAATATGGTTCTTTATTCTGAACTTCACCCCCTAGCCCCTTTTTCTCAAAGCGTCCTCTTTTCAAAAGTCCTGGTTATGCATCAGCTGGGATTGAACCCATATAGTCACACACAGAGAAACCGTCTGCAGAATCCTTTGACTAATATGGCTTGACAAAACGGCATGTTTTAGAAATGATTTCTATTTTTCACAAACCCTCATAACAGTAGCGCATGCCACGCCCAACTCATCCCAATGCATTCCCCTGAAACGGGAATTTTCAGAGAATTCCTCGCGTTTGGCTGTGAAGCCGTCTATGCCTCGCTGGATAGTGTGGTGATCGAGGAGGGAATCGAACGACTCGAAATGAAACTTGGCGTGCTCCAGGTGAATCTTGCTAGAGAGAGTCGGATCAGATTAGGCAGCAATAACTCGCATGCCTTTTCAGATAATCGACGGTTTGTCGTATTTACATAACTCGGCGAAAATCCTTCACGGAAACCTCACCCCTGCTTCGATCTATGTGACCAGCAGTCGACTATGGAAAATAGCTGGATTCGCGTTTGCAGTCGCAGCTAAGGAGCCGGTGAGTCGTATACTACTAAAAGAATGACATAGAGATCACACTCCCGAAAAGAACAAAAAATTTTGCGGAGTCTCATTGGATTAATGAAACTGCAAGGAACGACAGGAACAGGGCAGACCATATCTCAGCGCCCAATCAATGTGGAGAGCACGACACGACCTAGCTAGGGTTACGGGGCTGTTCTCAACAGACCGTCTCTCGCTGCCGAGTCCAGGGGTATTTTCACGAGGCATCTACCAGTCCAGTAGTTGGAGGGAGAAGGTAAAGGAGGAGGGATCAGAGAAGGAAGGAAGGAAAAGAAGGAAGGAGGAAGAAAAAATGAAAGACAGGAGAGGCTCCCCAGTTGACAAGTGGCCTGAGACGCGAGCCACCCGGTGCCTCACGTGACTCCCGCACGCTTCGTGCTTTTTGCAGTGTGTCTTTTTGCTTACTAGTTGACTCGACACTGCGCTCCCACGCGCGGTCACTTGGGTACTGGGGTGGTCAGGGCACGCCATCGTTGTGATAATCACAAGGGGGTCGTATTTGACCAGCGAGTTAGGGGGTCATATTTGCTCGTTGTTGGGAGGAGGGGGAGAGGCTCGTATTTGTCTTTGAGAGGAGTTGCGGCGCTGGGAAAAAAGCATTTCCCGGTTGTTGACTTTTCGCGGTTTTTCGATTTTTCCCGTCTCATCATTGGTGTTACATACCCTCCCCCTCCCTCCGCACGACAGCAAAATTTTTGGGGGAAACTAGAAATTCTTGGGAAGTGCCGGAAGAAGCGGTAGGAAGTCGGAAAAAACTAGGACAATGGTAGGTAGGATGGGGGGGGGGGTATTTGTATTTTTCCTCAATTTTTTTGATAATGCGATGGCGTGCCCTGGGTTTTTTAATAACGCGATGGCGTGCCCTGGAGGTGGTGCCGCGCACGCACAGTCTGCGGATGATGGCTCATGTCAGGAGAGAGCCTATAATCTCCACTAAAAGTAGACGCTGGCAGGCGGAAAACTGTGCTAGTTTGCCAGCTTGCAGAATTGGTGAGGAAAAGGCTGGCGCTGCGCTAGACCGGGAACTCCTCAGCGTCCGCAGCGAAGAAAACTGCAGCGCCGTGCGCAACACCACCTCCTCCCATCTGGTATGTTCCAACTGATACTATACTATTTATGAACATTACCCCATGAAGAATGGAAAATGTACCCCAATTTTTTGCCATTGATCAATCCCTTTGAGGGATGCGGCATGCATTCCACATCCATTCAGGATCGTAATGGCTTAATGAATGCGATGTGGTTTATATTATACAATGACTTGCGGTGGGCAGCCAATGTACTCAGTGTCCTCCCAGCCGAATCTAAGTAACAATCACGGCGTTCTGGAGCGTAGAGGGCTTGGTGGGCTCGGTCAGCCCGGGCGGAAGTCGACCCAGAATTTGAGCCCAGGACCGTGCGAGTGGGGAGCGCGTCACTTGTCACTACACCATTTTCGCCTCCACTGCGCCACTTAGCCTTGCATGAAGTACGAACTGCTTGCCTTTCCAATTCTCTCCCCAAGGTCAACGTCAGGTAGAAGCTCATGCCCGAGCGTATTGCGGAGGTTTGACTGTGATGATTTTTCTTAATTCCTCATCTGAACCCGTCCTAAGACCTTCTTGTTTCTTGGAGAGCATTAGGGCATTTAGGTATTAGGCCATTAGCCATAATTTCCGTATTATACAAAAACAAGGAGTGTAATATGTTACTCCCGATACTTCTGTTTTTCCTCTATCTTTCGAGAAGACTGCTCCGAAAACAATTTTAGCACCCCCTTCGTAGTTGATGGTATCTAGGAAACGATTTTTAACTTCAAGAGTTATTACCTGGAGGGGTGGCAGTACTGGCCCATCCGCCCTCCATAACAGATTACTGTACCCTGATTATAGAGCGATTGTTTATAAATGCTTGGAATACTCTTCGACGTACGGCATCGTCCCATCTTGGAACTGCACTGCTATCCAAAGCATGATTAGCGCACTTACGACTCGTGCTTTCCCATGCCTATAATGTCACTACGGCACAACGTTCACATCATTGTAAGAAACTATGGGTCATTGCTCTGATATGCTTTGCGAAAAAGCGGTCTGACCCACCAGTCTTTGGTACGTGCCTTCTGCTTTTGGATGCGAATAAGCTACTTACCGATTTTGTATTCTCTGTTTTTCTGCTGTTTTCTGTACTACCCGTTCAAGTGATTGCTTTGGACTGATTAACTAGCTCAGTAATGCATTGATGTTCTCTTTATGACGTCACACTGCTGTTTTTGTTCCCCTCAAATTGAAAGAGCTTCAGGACTGCTACCCATGCTATCCATGGACGAAGAAATTACCTCCAATCCTGCAACCGGATCTTGATTTCCTTGCTCCAGAATACCTGGCGCCGAATCAACAAACCGTCACATCGGCTGCAGACGTTTTCTCGCTCGGTGTGCTTATATGCTGGATCTATGCCGGTCAGTTCATTTGAACCCTCTGCTGAGATCTCCAAAATGCTCCTTTTTTCTAAACTGTTTTTTATGAAATTTCTTCGAAATGTGTCATGGGAGTGTCTAGTCGTCAAGCCATTAGGACTGCGTTTAGACTTCGCGATTCCATGAGAGTTTGAGAAATTTGCGACCAGGATCAGATAGTCCTGCAGTTCACGAAACGAGCGATCGTCATATCGCAAGCTACATATGAACGTTGTCAAGAGTGAGCTGTACTAGAACTGCGAGGAGAATGTTATTTTTCGGGGTCTCCATGGAGGAACCACACCCTCACACGGAAAAATCTCCAATTGGTCGCACCTTTCAACGCGAAAGACAACGAGCTTTCAGTCAATGCTTACTTTTGGTTTCTTAATTTGTTTGTGGTCGTTGTTTTCT